TCTCAGGGCCACTCGCACTCTGGACCCACATCAAAGTGACAGAGACGTCCAATCAGATTTGTCTTACAGGCATTACATGATGAATATGGTGCGGCCGTAGCACAAAAGCGCCTTTGTGTCTCCTCCGAGCAGAGACTATTCACAGCCCGCCACAGCCAGCCAGAGTGGAAGTAAATGGCCAAAAGGGCCCAGGCCAAAAAAAAAGCACCCAAACTTGTGCAGCACAATGGCCCATGCAAATCACAGCCCCCGCCACCTCCACCCTACCACACATCCCCACCTCTTCCCTCCCGCTACCCTTCAGGCCTGAGCTTGGTTCCTCCTCTGCTGGGTCGTCTGAAGTTTAGGGCCTATTCACACACATACAGAGGTGTCAGTTAAAAGTGCTGAGCTGCATGCATTCAAACGTTCATTTGAAAAGAGAAAGATTTCTTTTCTTAGAAAGATAGAAGAAAAACACGAGTCGAATGACTGACTTTTTTGTCAGAAAGTAAGAGTGACTTGGCGGCTGTGAGCAAGACTCCTGTTTAGACTTTTGCTGCGGGGAAGAGGATTTCTAGCACACTGGAATGGCCCTGCTATATTTGCCTGCATTGAGAGAAATTATCAAATGAAATGGCCCGTTCTGGCGCAGAGAAAGGACACTGCTGCACATATCTTACTTCAACACAGCAATGAACAATATAACTGATTCTAACTGTAGAACATCTTTAGCAGATATTCAGTGGAGCAATGGATAACTCACCACATTTCTCACATCTCTGCTCTGGGAATGGCAAATCTTAATAATGAAGTCTGAATTTGAATCCCAGAAAATATATAAAAAATATTCAGTGTATGAACAGACTTCATTTTAGCAGATAATAGCATCTGCACTGGTGCAAATGTCAGCTCCGGTGTGCTTACAGGGTAGATAAGTCTTTTAAGAAAAATCTGTCAAGTAAAATTACTTGCTCTATGAAAACTCTCTAGTGAGGAAAAAAAAGCTTAGGCAGCATCCACAGAACCAGAAATATTCTAAATTTAGTAAATAGAGAAGGGACCTGAAGGCTTAAATTCTAAAAGGCCTTTATTATCATAACTCCGAGCCAATGGGATCTGCAGTGACTCTGACTATAACATCTATCAGGGTGGAAAAGGAGTAGCAGCAGTAGTGATTAGTGCAAAATACTAGGGCGTCCATAGTGCTTCTACTAACCAAGACCTTACTCAATCAATAGCCAAGGGGTCAGCAGATTTGTCTGTAAACCAGCTGCATGACCCTGTGTGTGGTGTGTGTGTGTGTGTGTGTGTGTGTGTGTTTGAGTGTGTGTGTGACTCCAAATCAGTTCAGCATGTTTTCTGTCTATGTTAAATATAAACGTGTCTGTGCCTCTGCTTAAACATTAACACCTCTGTAAGCATTGCCCAAGGTTGCGCACCATCACTTCATTCATCTACATCGCTGCTCTGTCTCTGGTCATCACTCCTTTGTCAGAAGCGTATTTATCGTCTTTGCATCTTTTCAGCTGTGGCTGTGATCACAGAGCACCTTTCGGTTTGTGTGTTGTTATTTTATTTTTCATTTGTTTAAAATCTCTTTGCAAAGACAATATTAATGGCCGCATTCAAGTTCACTGTTAACTCGAAGGAGACGTTGTTTTATCCAGCTTGTTATGGAGTGCATGATTTTATATTGACTCTGTTTTGCATATTAAAATATTTGATTTGAGATAATTGTGGATTATTAAAGAATCAGAGAGACAGACAAGTGTGATTGTGGTTTGAAATAATGCAGATTAAGTCTGTAAAGTCTGGTTTCCCCTTGTTTTAAGACATGTAGCTTACTCTATAGTCTACAGGTCCTGATGCACCTGTTGCTCCATGTGGCTCTGAGCTGTGATTGGATGAGCCAATAATTCACATCTTCCAGATACTGACTCTTAGTATCTTTTTTAGTATTTTTTTTTTTTCAATATGGTAAAATATCATATCTTAAAATTAGAATTTCTTAAAAATATGTGGTTATGATAAGCAGAATGATTTCAGGACTCACCAGTGTTTATAGAGAAACATTGTTAGCTTATTAGCAGGAGCCTCTGATGATGGATTACCGCTGTGTGTCTTCTCGATCTCGTCTGTAGGATACGTCACTTTTCTTGGAAAAGGTGAGTGTCAACAACAAAATAGACTAGTATCCATGCTGACACTACATCAGTCAACTCAGTTACTGCTAGAACAACTGAAGGACAAACATAACATTCAGAACTGGGTCAGTTATCTCCCACTTTAGCCGAGCTGGGCCAGGTTCCATCCTTTTTTTAACTATTTTAAACGGCAATCTTTAGCATATCATTTCTAAATGAATCACACTGACATGCTCATGCATTTATTGAAGTGAAAAGTAATGAGGGAGAAAATGGTTGTGTTATTAGTGGCAGTTAGACTGTTATCGTGTAAATACTGTCTACCTCTAAAATGATTCATGTTTTGGGGCATACACTGACAAACTGTCTTTTGCCGACGGGGTCAAAACATAAAAGCAACGGAGATTTGTACACCCAAACTAGTTCGGCAATGAGAAATGTAGGCACACACTGGATGAATGGGTGGCCTTCTATTCATGCGAAATGGCTTTAAAATCCACGGAGCACTCTGATGAGTGCATTCAGAGCAACAGATGACCCTTCACCACCCCACTCTTGGCCCAATTTACCCTTAGATTATAGTCTAGGTATGTGCGCATTTGGCGTTTCAATGGTTTAATCATGGCTTTGCGCACGAAAAAGAAAAACGTATGCAAAATGAGCTGCTTGTGATTGATTATTCACCATTGGATTAGGACAAAATTAACATTGCCCTTATGTATTGTCAAAGTGAAAATGACCCACGGACAAAATGACATGAATAAATCTATTTTCGCCCCTGCTCCTCCCTTTATCGCTGAGGAGAAAATTGCATATCCATCTTAAAGGACAAGAGACAAGCTTATTTTCACTTTGTGCCCTGGCCTCTGTCTGACACTGAAGGACATCAGAAACACCATTTCAAATGTATAATAATGGAGCAGCAGGGTATTTTGCGCTCAACATTGATTTGTCTTTTTGAGTCCCGCTGACGTAGGAGGTTATAAAGCAGAGCGTAATTAAAGTCATTTATCACTTGTTTGATTTTGCCACTGCCCTCACCAACGGGGCTCACATACGCGAGCCATTGACCAATGGGAGCGCTGGAGCATTTGTCACCGAGAGTGCAGGCACGTGGCTTACACCTGCAGGCTGCAGCGTGTGTGTGTGTGTGT